CAAGGTGACCTCTGAGCATGGAGAACCATTGGGAACTTCTTCTGGGGAGGAAAGTAGGCCTTGGATAGACAGTGCCTGTCATTTGCACAAAGAGAATTCATTCACCGCCTGCACATATATTCGCTGAGTGCATTTTCTGTGCCAGACAATTCTATAGAAATAAAGAAAATCTCTATGGAGAAAAGAAAATTTCAGCCTTTATGATGAGCTCAAATTCTATGTCTGCAACATGGATGATGAGACAGAAAAAAGATTTGAAAGCAAATTTAGTTATATATTACAAAACATGAAGTGTTTTGAAAAATAAACTGAATAAAAGTAAATCACAGTGTATGATTTTAGAAGCAGATATGTAAGGACTGTATTATAAATCGTGCAATATTCCTAAAAAAAAGTTATTTTACATGTTTTATAAAATTCAGGAAGTTTAGGTTGACGATACAGAGAAAAGTAGAGCTTCTATCTGATTATACTCCACCCTCTGATATTCTATCTCACCATCACTTTGGTATTCCTCAAAAACTTTTCTGTGTGTATAGTGCTTTAAGAATTTCAGCATTCTCTTGTTTTTTAAAACACTTACCATTTACATGGCATTGCATAATGATTTCTCTTTTTATTGAATATTTATTGCATATGGCTGTATTTGAGGGCACAGGAGTTGCCTCCTTGTTTTAAATGAATGAGGTATAAGTGTTTGCCAAGCGTTACCACACTAGGTGAGTTTAAGGTTTCAGTCTAGGTCTAATGGGCTGGTAAAGAAAACCGTTGTTAGACTCAGGCAGTTTTTGGCTTCTATAGATAGTAAAGTGAACAAGAGCCAAACACTGCAGCGCCCTGTGGCTCCATCCTACCCACCAAAAAGACTGACTCCTAAGCAAAATGCATCAGGAGACCAAAATACGAGCTATGAAATTTTCATTTCTGAGGACCTAAATGCAGATTGCTGGGAGACATCACCGACTGCAGCTCTATTCTCAGAGGATAAGGTGAATACCCCACTTCACATATGGTCTGGGAGGTGGAAGGAAACTGCCTCCGGGGTAGAGAGAAGGGCGACCCAGGCCCTCAGGGAAGCTCCTCACTGGTCACCCTCCAGTTCCCTGGGAGGACCGCCAGGCTGCGGGGAGAGCTTCTGGCTGTGTGCCTGAGGCGACACTGCAAGGTCACCAGGCACTGTGTTCGATCTGCTCTAATGAGGGTTGAGCCATTTGTCATCTTTGTTGATGGATTTCGGGGCAATTTTCCATCTTTTACCATTCCTAGCAAATGCCCTTGTACACACGTTTGTTTTTATAATTTTAGGGTAAATTTCCAGAAGCAGAATGTCAGAATGGAAACACAGTTGCTTCTAATTTCCAATATCATCCTTCCTTAAAAATTATATTAAACACCATGCCAACAATAGTGTATGATAGAGTTCTGGTTTCTTCATGTCTACACCAGCACAGCACATTATCAAGTACTGGTTTTTGCAATCTAAGCTAAAAATACCATTGGAACATGAATTGGTATTTTATTATTACTATTAATATTATTTTGCAATGAGTAAAGTTACACTTCTTTATATATATTAATATTACTTATATTTTTAATGTATTCACTTTCTTTCCCTGCACTGTTAACTCTCTTTAATAATTTATAGATACTTTACATTTATTAAACAAATCATTACATTTTTCAAGTTAATTGACTGAAGGTAATGTCATTAAATATGCATATTTCATGGAAGTTCAAGTTGTGGTTTTTAAACATTTTATATCTACAAAAATTTTCATATAACTGATCACCAGGTTTTTGGAATTTGTCATACTTAAAAGGACCTCAAATTTTTTTAGATTATAAAATTATTTTTCAAGCTCTATAAATTTAGATTCAAAAATATATAAATACCACATGTGTATTTTAAAAGGTTTAGGATTTCTTTTGAGTCTTGTCTTGAGGTTGTGGTTGTTTCATTTAAAAATAAGAATTTTAAGGGCTGGGGATTTAGCTCAGTAGTTCAGTGGCCTGCCTTGCAAGTGCAAGGACCTGAGTTCAATCCCCGGTACCAAAAAAAAAAAAAAAGAATTTTCATTAAAATATATTTTGTATTTTATAAAATGTTTTTCTTGCATATATTCTAAATCACATATTCTAAAATGTCTTTAAGAGTTTGTCTATAAAATAGAATACTACTCAGCCATAAAGAATGAGAAATTAGATTCATTCATAGGAAAATGGATACACATTGAGGATATACTCCTTAGTGAAATAAATAAGTCACACATGTGTAAATATCAAATAGATTCTCTGGTGTGAAAAACTATAATGGTACATAAGATCCTAATGATATAATTGACAATGTGAAATAGGAAGAAAAGGGCTAAAAGTGTAGGGAAAGTGGGAAGGGTAGGGGAAAGAAATAAGGGAAAAGAAAAAAATATGAGAAAATGAAAAAATACAAATAAAGTGTTTGTAAATGGGGAGGGGAGGAGGGGGTGAAGGGAGGGCAGGGACAAAGGGAAAAAATGAGAACCAAGACCTGTCATGTAAAGGTACAAGGTCCCAGTAATGAATGTAACTGTACTGTGTACATAAAATGTACCAATAAACTCAATGAGAAAAAAAAGAGTTTGGGGGACATAAAATGGAGGTATAAAATAGCATGATTGAAAAGACTTGTTGGATTTACATCAATGTCAGAAGATGGAAGAAAAGTCAGCTGCCACCATCTTCCTCGTGGCCTTTGGAGAAGTCACATGAGCTAAGCGATGTCAACCGGGAAGATGTCGAATAGAAAGTGAAGGGGCTGCATTCTTCTTCTTGTCCTTTTGACAGAAGATTCTATGAGCATGTGTCTGCATTGCCTTGCAATCATGAATCACAGTGACAATCTGTCCTTTGAAGTTCAGTAAAGACATATGTTATCAACAGTGAACGGCACTAAGGTTAGGACCAAAAGAAGAGATACTTTTTAGGGCTCAGGAAAGTGATCAGATAAAAGAGTCCAGCTCCTTCTTTGTCAGTTATTGGTCTCCACTTACACTGATCTATTATTTCTTCCACTAGTGACTAAAATCCTCTCCTACCAGGGTTTGTTGCCCTTCATTCTTCAATGTCTTCTTGCAAGTCTGAGTCACGCACAACCTTCACGGTGACTGCTACAAAGTGGGGGTTCTCAGACACTAGGGAACACCAGGGTCCCCCAAAGAATGCCAAAGCACATAATGCTGCATCCTCTCTAAGAGTCTTTTATTTAATAGGTCTGAATGGGACCTGAATATACTTATTAACAAGTTTTCTGGGCTTGCTAATTGCACTGACCTCTACATCAAACATTTAAAATTGTTAAAAACGTAAAGCTATCATTGTCACCACAACTCAAAAATACTTGGCACCTTGCAATCATATGTGTGAAAGTCTAAGGTGATTTTGACACAATCAATGCATAAGACACAATTTGCAAAGAGTATAGTAGATGATAACCTTTATCAAAAATTTCGTCTAACCAGTTGATTTTTACAGATAATTTTGTTGATTTTTTTTTTACCAAACTCTTTCTTCTTTGATCACATACCATCTCTATGACATATTACTTTTCTTTCTATATAATCCTATGAAAATATAACAGTTTCCACAGGTCATGGGAAAATAAGATTCAAGCCATATGGGTCTAGACAGTCTAGAAGACAATTAACCAAACCCTAATTTATACATTTTTCAGAATATGTGGTGTAAAGATTTCTACTCTTGCAGATTTCACATTATCAATGCAGAGTTACTGAATGTAGGATTGGCAAGTCATTTGCTGCTTCAGCCCGATATAGGGTATTTCTACTGCATAGGTAGAAAAGTTATGAAAAATAAAGTCGCAGAAGATATAGATTATAGACCGCTATCACATAGTGAAATATTTAGAAATTGGTTAAATTAGTATCTCTAAAAGCATTTTATTTCCTTATAGGTTTATGTCACTTACCTTTGAACCATTTTGCTCACAAAGTTCCTGAACATCTAATACCCGGCCCTCAGGAGCTGAGCTGACTCCAACACACCACTGCTGGCCCATTGTGCTGAGCCCAACACACAGAGAAGCGTTTGGCTTTCCCTTCACTTCACCCTCACACATCTTTCCCACCTTTGGCCTCAGGACCATGGTACCCTTCTTTCAAGGCTTGGTAGTGTCTACTGCTGGCAGCCTCTGCCATTCTCTAGGCTGACCCCAGGGTCTTCCCCCATCTCCCTCAGTGCTCAGGGCTGCCCTCTACCATCCCGTTCTTCAGGGACTTACCTAGCATTAGACTGTGATTTTTCTTCATCGCAAGAACTTGCCCTTTCTCAGCTCAGAGACCAGCACAGAACCTGGTATACATGAGAGGGCAATAGAAAGTGCACTACTTGCGGAGCTGGGAAAATCTTGGCTGCCAATTAGCACAGCTCTGTGCAACTTTCTTTGTATTGCAGAGCTGGTGCATTTTGCTTGGCCTCTTAGACAAAAGAGGAAGAAACAGCTCTCTACATGTATTAGTAAAAGTCTACATAAGAATGAAGGTAAAGGACTTTGCTGATATTGTAGATTTAAATGCCAAGATATATATATATATATATATATTATATTTCATTCCTCTAGCTAATTTAAGTTGTTTTTAAAGGTAAAATGATGATACATAGCCAACAGACTCAATACTGACATAGGCAAGATGCAAGCACATGTGCGTGCACACAAACACACAAAGAGTAGAGTTGAAGGACTGAGAATAGTGCACAGAGTTATCTAGAACCTTCTGGATGACTCCAGCTACCACCAGGCCATCTCTGCACCTCTCTTCTCAGGTGCTCCTGCTCGGACTCCTATCTTTGTAGGCTGTCTGGCATGGACAGAAGGGAAATAAGTCTCAGGGCCAGAGGCGAGATTCTCCATTCCTTGAGGCCTCAAATCTCCTGGCAGCTGTGTTTACTGAATTTTCACAGAGCTCTCGAGCAAAGGACCTGGGGATGTGCAGGGACAGCGGACTTACCTCATAATCAATGTCCAGAGCGTCTGCCTCACCCTTGGTCCGGAAGTGCTGAGTGTGTTTGTCCACGGTGAAGTTCACCTGCTTGCCAACACGTTCGATGAGCACCGAGTGCCAGTGCTGGTCATCCAGGAGGCTTCCCAGGGTGGCCGAGGGTGGGCTGCTGCTGAGTCTTGCTTTGCTGTCATCTGTGAGGAAAGAGGAGGTGGATGGCATCTGTGCCTTAGGACAGCTTTGAGCACTAACATGCTTTGCAAGTGAGGCCCGCTTCCTCTGTCCTGAAGGGTAAGCACGCTAAAAAGCAAAGGTTTTCACTCTCAAGAAAATGTGCATATTATTTGAGTGTGAGTGCTTCTCAAATGGAGAAGACAGATCACGAGAGGTACAGAGGAGGGAGAATAAACTTGGAATAAAACTGGCGCGACAGTGGGCCTGCTGAGCAGAGAATTCTGCAGGCAAAGGCACAGGTGAGGAGACATCACCCCACTTGCCTTTATCAGCAGCCATTACAAGGAAGATTCTGAAATAGGGAATTTGCAGCCTGTATTTCAATACTTCAAGGGAAATTATTACCACCTATGTTTTGCAAGAAAGAATCTGAGGCTCAGTGAGGTTAAGCAACATGCATAGGAGGCGCAGATGGACAGTAAACCCAGTTCTACTTTGATCATTTTCATTCAGAGGACAGCTATGGATTGTGATGCAGGTCCTCTGTGTAGACAATTCAACCTAGGTGGATTTGGGGACATTCCCTCTGGGAGGGACACTGACTGGTGATCACTTCTCCATTCAGGCTTTTCCTCCTCCTCCATGTTTATGGCAGTCCCTCCCTACCTGTAGCCTCCCTGGATAAGATAACAGCTTTCTCCTCCTGAAGAATTTGCCTCATCCATAGCAAAAGGAACAACTCAGTACAAGTTATCACTATGGATAAACAAGTGTTAAGTTGGGGTACATTCTGTGCACTCAGCTAAAAGTCTCTCTCCTCTAGCCTGCCATGTGTTTTCACAGCACAGGGAGGCAGCCTCTTCAGCAGTGACATTCAAAGGGTAGGAGCTGCCACCTCCCCTGCAGGCTGCTGACTCCCACCTGCAGTATGGCCCCCCGGGGTGCTTTTCCTCCGCCAAAGAACTCTGCGTTGTTTCACATGGGGTGTGAGTGGGGAAGCTGTGGCCCGTTTATATTTTGATTAATTCATATTTAGCCCATTGTCTATAATATGAATTTTGCAGTATCTTTTGTTCATTTGATTTTTTATTATATCCTTTTTCTGTTTATTTACCACTTACATAGGTTTGGGTTGAAAAAGCCATCATTTCCTTTTCTTTATGCCACCTGAATTTGTGTTATCATGAAAACAAGGCGATCCCCTTTCTGACATCAGAAGAATTTACCCATGGTCTCTTCAGTTTCCTTTCACTGGGCATGGCTTCTAGTGTATGGCAGGAAGCATGGTTCTAATTTCTGTGTTTAGAGGATCATCACTAATCTAAGATCCACTCCTTTTAAATCCCTGAGTGCTGATTTCAAGGAAACAAGGTGCCACAAGGAGAAACTGCTAAACTGGCCGAGTGAGTTTGTTATGTTGAAGAGTTCAGTCTTCTCTTTGCAGATTTTCAGATACTGATCCTTTGGGAGTAAGATTTCAGGCTGGTTGTGGCCGCCATGTTCTCAGCCTGTGCAAGGCCGCACTCGGGATCACCCTGTGAAGGGGTACCGCCCACGTGGGGGGGAAGCCGCGCTCACTGGGGACTCGAACTCACTCTCGGAGTCGAAAGTCAGCCCCTCCCCCGTCCTAACTCTGCCCCAGAAAGTTGGTGACTGTTTTACCATCCAACAGTTCTGCTCTGCATAGTTTTTAAGGTTTTAGGGGTGAGAGGTGAATCTTTTTAAATAAACAGTGTCTACTTCTTCTCATTGAATTTAATGAAACTATAAACCTTAATTAACATATATCACTTTACACACTATGGATCATGAAATTTTTATGACTACATAAAGCAATTTGTTGACCTTTCCTCAAAACTGGATTCCTATTGCCCTTTGTTTATTTTGTCCATTTACTTAACCAACATCTCTATTGCTCTGAGATAATGCAAAATTCAATCCCACCAATCTTTTAGAAAAGTACATGGTAATAAATACTGAAGGAATTTTTTAACATTATAATAGTTTACCTAGTCATTTCTTTCTGGAAATCTCTCCTTATAAAACAAATTGAAATGTGGTGAAAAATTTAAATGTTTGGTGATTTAAAAATTGGAAATGAAGTGAGGTGTGGTGGTGCACGCCTGTAATCTCAGCACTTGGGAGGCTGAGGCAGGAGGATCACTGTGAGTTCGAGACCAGCCTGGGCTACACAGTGAGTGCCAGGTCAGTCTCACTACATAGTGAGATCCTATCTTAAAAAAACACAACAATACAAAAAAAAGTTGGAAATGATATCCAGTAATTTATAAAAAGGAAGGAAGTAGATTGAATACACTTAGACTCATCAGATAGAATATTATGTAGCCATCGAAATGTCACTTAGGTATTTATATCATTCAAAAATGTACTCAGTAATGGTTGCTCTTTCTTATAGAATAAAAAGTAAAAATAATTAAAATGCTTAGTAATTTATTATCTACTGATTTAAAATATACAGAAGCAGAATAGGAAAGTATAGACAATATAGATATGAAAAGGTGCAGATAAACACTAAGAGCAGATAAAATTTAAGAATGCATTTAGTCAAATATTAAAATTTTCTCTAAATTTTAGAATAAACATGACTAATTTTAATAATGGGAAAAAATAAATTTCACTGAAAACATAACCTTCAACCTCCATAGCTGGTTCATTGAAAAACATGTAGCAGAGATACTTAAATTGTTGAATATCTCCTGAAATTCAACTTATTTTGCTCAGTGCTAGTGATCAAACCCAGGCTTTGAGCATGCTAGGAAACGCTCTACCACTGCACAGTACCCTCAGCTTGCAATTCATTTTTTAATTAGCCAAAAAAGTAGAAGACAGGAAAGAAACTTGCTGCCCCACCCCCATTCTTACTAACACACAGAAATCTTGCATTACAAAAAGTTAAGTAAAAGATGGTTCATTTAAATTACTAACCAAAGAAAATATCTGCTATTCACAAAGCAGGATGTTTAAAAGTGTTTTCTATGAAGAAAGAAGAATAACAGTACCAGCGAACGTTTTATTTTACCCAGAAACGTTCATTATTAGAAATTATTTGAAAAACATAAAACTCAGAATATTATCAAACTTTTATCTTTGAATACCTATTTGAGATTTTATCTGATGGCTCTTGGAGTCCAGTAGTAATTTGTAACTAGTTTCCAGTTTATTAAGACAATATAAAAGTCTTCATGGGCAACTGCGAAAGACGAAAACAATAGAAGTATAGAGAAGGTAATTTTTTGCCCAGAAATATAAGGAAAAACTTTTAATTAAATAAAAATTGTTTTCATTTGGTTTGAAAGATAGCTAAAATGAAGTGAAAAAGTATATCTAAGGCCTTATAACACTGTGCATAACAGTGAAATGACTGCATCTTCAGCTTCATTTTATTTGTCTTCTTCCCCTCAGCCTGCTTGTGGATAAATACTGCAGCCTCCACCCTCTTGCCTAGAGCTCACATTTTTGGGAAAAGGCATCATATTGCACTACTTTCACCCAGATGCCTTGTTCAGTTACATCTTGTTCCTTCATCTAATCTTAACAACTCAAACTTTCTTGTCTTGTGAATTTAAGACAGCCTGAGTATAAGGGAGGTTCACTCTCCGATCTGAGACAGTATTTTGGTAAAAATGACACACAGGGGAAGGGATTGATTCCCTGTTGATAAATAAGTTTCCAGCTGCGAAGTTCCCAATGTCTTGTTCCATAGGACCTTGAGAATTGACCCTCCCAACTGTAGTGTGTCAGATTATCCATACTGGTATTCATCTGTATGTGTCAAGCTTCGCATGTGAGGGCAACATTTTAAATATGTTGTTTAAATTATTCCCGAACATAGCTCTGCAAAACTGTCACTCTGCAAGAAGCCACAAGATTTACCCCAAGACATAAAGAATTAGTGTCACCATGTGGCTCCATCTGACTGCAAAAGTAATATTCTCTCCACTGCTTCCTCTGGGAAAGATTGATGCTCTCGTTCTCCCTCATCCCTCACCTTGTGACTAACCGCTGCCCACTATACAAACACGTAAGCTGTGTTGCTCAGTCAGAAGGGAGAGTGTCAGGAAAGAACGCGATGAACTGGAAAGCAAACAGTCGTGGCAATGGAATGAGGCAAAGTACATTGGGGGGAGCAGGATGCTGAGGTAGAATGAAAATTTCATCAGGTGCCAGAGATGAAAGACCAGACCGGAAAGACAGTGCCAGGCCCTGGATGATTATCCACAACACTCACGGATGGTCTCATGATTCCCCACGTGAGATCTTTGAACAAAATAATCAGGAAGAAATGTAATTCCAAGGGTATGAATCTCAAAACAGGATTCATCTCTATGTATTACTAAAACTATGAAATACAAATTCTTTGTTGTTAAGAGATTTCTTAATATTAATGAATAAAAGTAGCTTCCAGATTTTGGAGCTGTTCAGTTCTGGTTATTAATCTGTATCCATTTTATGTGATACTACTTCCTAACAAAAACTTTATCTTAACGTGTTTGTGCTATGTGATTCTGATAATGCATAGTTACTGTATTTTTGATTAATGGCCTAAGCTAAACGATAAGTAGAATAAGTAGAATATTTTGCTAGACTGGAATTTCCTTAAAAATAAGGACTGGCAGCTGCGTTGGGAGGCTCACATCTACAATCTCAGCTGCAGGAGAAGTTGAGGAATGAGGACTGTGAGCGAAAGTTCAGCCTGGACAACTGGGTGAGACAGATGACAACAGGAGAGTGACAGAATTTATAAAAAGGCAGGCACTGTGCCCTACTAACACTTTGTTCGAAATGCTTTTATTTCGCCCCTATGTATAAACAATTCTCCAAGCAACTCAAATTTAGCTCTGGATTCCAAGGTGCATCCTGACCTCTGCAGTTTTGCAATTCATTACACAAATGCCAATTGCCTGATATTTAATATGCAGTTGTTTGAAGGTTTATAACGTGTTAGTGATTAAGGTCAGGGAACTGAGGAATGAAGAGAGTGCTGATTCCAGCTGCACAGCTGTGTGATGGCATGCGCTCAAGCTTGGCAGTGCTACGATATGGACAGCAACGCGTGGCTTTAGCGGTGATGTGGATGTCGGATGATTTATATGTATTAATTTTACACAGAATTTTCATATTTAAAAAGTTTAGGACAGTGAGTGAATATGGGCACTCAAAAATGGCAACTTAGAAAACATCCCCTTAAACATGACAAACACTCCAAACATATACGTGAGTCGGCTTCTTAAAAAGCTTAAATTTCAAAGGAGCTAAAGTAAATGTTCATTGTACTCTTTGGAGCATGTAAAAAACCGTCGTAGATGTCACTGAGCTGATCCTGCAGGCAGGGACTTTGACCTCTGAACCCTGGACTTGGCTCTGAGTCATCTGCTCTGCATAGGTTTGCTCAGTCCAGAATCTGGCTTTCCTTCAGTTATGTGTATGGGGACTGACAGCCTAAACACTGTGCCTCAGTTCAAAGGCGCTGAACCCTTGTAAGGATAAGGGAACTGCATGCGCTATTGATGTCCTGTTTAGTTCCTACACTGGTCTCCCATCACATAATTATTTTGCTCTTTGACTCGCCACCTGCTCTTGTGGGCTCTGGATGTTGTAATTCTCTAGTGGGCAGATTGCCACAGGTGATCTGAACTATGCAAGAAGTGGAAAGGTGAATCTTTCTAACTCCCTTATGGGTTGAAAAAAAAAAAAATCTCTTTCCCACCTCCTAGCTGAAGAAAACAATGTTCGACCTTGAGAAAGTAGGGTAAGGAGAAGTACCTTCTTAAATTTCACCATAGAATTGACTCTGCCTATGACAGACATTGTATGTATAACTAGATAATGTGAATTAATAAGCCATCAAAGTGTGTCACTTGAAAACAACATGGCCCTGTTTTGTAAGTGGTTTATATTAAATTTAATGCATGTTATAAATTAATTTTGTATATCTGTAAGCTCTTTCTGTTACCTTGTCCATATTCACAATGGAAGCCAAAAAGATCCCTAGAAATGCCCCATAATAGAGGCCTACAATGTTTGGTTTTGGGCTTTGGAATAATCTGCATTTTGATGTCTCTTATACTAATTGCTGAAATATATTTTGTTGTTTTCTTTCCAGTCCCCGACACAATTTGAGCTAACAGATTGCAATTTGCTATACCTTTCCCTCCTTGCTCTTTGCCAGTAAATACTAACAGGGAATTCTCTTCTTTAGTACAAGGCAATGATAGAATACACCCCACAGTGAGAAGCTGGAATCCTAACTTTGAGAGGCAGGAGGGGCGTTCTGTAAAACAGTAAGTGGCATTCAATAATCTGTGGCTTGCCCTGACATCACCAGACAACTAAAAGTAAATAAGATTTCCCTTAACAACACATGATAATGTTCAAATCATGTAATTTTCCACTATAAACATATGGCCTCTCCTAAAAAACCCTTGAAACAATGAAAATGTTTGTCCATCATTTCTCTCGAATGAAATTTAACTTTCACAAATGTACCTAACAGTATAAATCATGAGCAAGCTCATTATAATATGCATGTGAACTTGCTCAAGTTACATCAGAGTTTAATCACTGAGGCATAAATAGATAAATATGGAGCTAGACAAATAATAACTAGCTTGAGGCTGAGCGTGGTGGTGTACACCTGTAATCCCAGCACTTGGCAGGCTGAGGCAGGAGGATCGCTGTGAGTTTGAGACCAGCCTGGGCTACATAGTAAGTTACAGGTCAGTCTCAGATACATAGTGAGACCCTGTCTCAACAAAACAAAACAAAACAACTACAACAAAACAAAACAACTAGCTTGATATGGTACTTTTCCATTCCCACACAGATAAAGGAAATACACTACACTGTACTGCAGTGATTCTTATTTGACATACAAGAGGCACAAGTGAATGTGGCCATGATTTCCTGAAGAATGTAGTACTCTGTTGCTTAACCAAGGAAAAGAATGGGCAGAGCCTGACCCTACCCAAGTTTAGGTACAGGGTAAGTCTCCCTTTCTGGAGCTCCAAGGTGATGTGGTCTCCACGTTGACCTTCTCCATGGAACAAAACGCCATCTGCTTGCATGCTCTTGAACTTCAGGGAAATCACATCTTTGAGAGTGCTCATCAGCTTTTGATTGAACCTGTACAGAAGCGAGCTTCGGCCATCAAAGTCGGCAATGTCCGATTCTGGGTACAAAGAGAGAGGAGAGAAAATATGTTAGTTTAGTCCTTATGATTTGTTGTCTTGTTCCCATCTTAGTTGTCACAAGAAGGTGCTTGTGACCAGGAAGGTCCCATCTCAATAGGAAACACATAGGCTAGAGCTAACCTAATAGACTCAGAAGAATTGCACATTTACAAGCAACCTCCGCACACTGAGTCAAAGTGAACTGAACATCAGACTAGAAGCAAAAAACTCTCATTTCAGACTTTGCTTGAGGGGACAGGGTGAAAATACCACAAGTACCTGTGTCAGGCATGTCATGTGAGGCGTCTGAGTTGTAATAACTTTACATGCTTTATCCTGCTTATTAATTTGCTTCTGACAGTTGGATCCATTTGATCTTGTCAAGGCAGGAGAGGAAAAAGAGATAGAGCTTGTTATGTCCATTCAGTTTGAATAGTTATGAATAGTGTGAATAGCTTCTGAAATCCTGCATTGAGAAGGATTCTCAGGCTTCTTCTGGGTTCAGAATAAAAGAATACCCAGTAAAGGAAAGGCATTTCATCAGGAAAAGCAGATACATTGCATCTTTGCCATCCCTTCCTTGCCCTGTGCTGGTAATAGGTTGTTTTTCAGTGTTTTCATACAAAATCATTTGTCCCTTTATACTTTTTGCCTTTCTTCTAATTAGAGATATCTTTAGTTGATAAGCAAAAATTGTACAGATTCATGAAGTACCATGTGATATTCTGATATGTTAATACATTGCATAATGTTTAAGTCAGAATAAGCATATAACTATCTGAAAATAATAATCAATTTGCTGATATAAAAACATTCAAGATACTTTTAGGTTCTTTTTCTTAAAAACTATATTACCATTTGTTATAGTCATTCTACTGTTTAATAAGCAACAGAACTTATTTCTACTAACTATAGCTTCGTATCCATGGGCCAATGTTTCCCATCCTTCTGTGCGCTCTAACTAACCCAGCCTCTAGTAACCACTAGTCTACTCTCAATTTCAACTGATCATTTTTTTCACATTGCACATATGTGTCCAATCATGCGGTGCTTGTTTTTCTGTACCTAACTTATTATGTTTCCCAGTTCCATTATTATTAAAGCCAAAAAGTGAAGGTCAAATTATCACGATTTAGTCAAAAGCATGCTAAGAAAGCTAATAGGAACTTCATTTGGGAGCTGTTATTGTAGGCTATTTTTACATCCTTTTCCCAATAATTTATTGTGAAAACTTTTACAGTAAGCTTTTATTATTTACTTACTATTTATTTATTTATTGGTACCAAGGACACAACTCGGGTCCTTGAGCTTGCGAGGCAGGCGGCAGAATCACTGAGCTAAATCCCTGGCCCTTTTATTATTTTTATAATAGGAAAAATGCAAATATTCTTATAACTTGAAACAGATTCCTTATATTTCATTTCACATTGGTGAAGCAGAAAGGACCAGGGGCATGAATGGGTAAAAAGTTTCCTTTTTTGAAATCCAGCACTTAAGAAAACAATTTTTAAAAAATATTTACCAGTCAAAAAACTTCTCAGCTTGAGCACATAAACTGGTAAATTAAACACCTTTTCTGATCGAAAGTCTAGAAATAGTCTTTCTAAAGCTAAATATTTGAAATTGAAAAATAAAACTGTACTTTTCTGCGATTAGTTTTAGAACACATTTTCATCATGCATTCCTAAGGAATCAAGGGATTCCAACCAAAAGCCACAGGTGACTCTAGACTGTGAAAAATAAAACTGTCCAAATGCAAAGAGATTTTCAGAAACTCTACTCTTTTGAGAACCACCCCAGCCCCAACCTCGCCATCCAGTCAGTGACCTCTGCCTGTGCTCTGCATTAGACCTCTACCCAAGCCAAGAAGAGACTCCAGGCAGCAGGTGCCTTCAGTTCTGGAACAATGTGCATCCCATGGGGATGTGCAATGTAGGTATTAAGCTCAGATAGCCACAGCTTCTTAGCTCAGTCACCTTGGGTAACATTACCACTCTAAGACTTGATTCTTTATACACAAATTGGAGATAATCATGTCCATTAGAAAAGGATGACAGAAGAAAGAATGTGGCGCAGTAAAATTCAGCACTATATCATAGCTTTTCCAGGAGTGGCAACCTCGACACTTGCAAAACAAGAACTTAGTAAAAAGAAAAGGAAGAGATCCAAGATTCAAGAAAAACCCAACTGGAAATGTTAGATGCCACAGATCATCTGGAGAAACTGAAGGCAACAAGAAACGAACCCTAACTCTGGCTCCTGGGGAGGGAGACCTGTCTTGGTGAATACTAGGTAAGCCCAGAGCCACTCCGAGGAGAATCAACAAACCAGGCTGTCACTGCAAGTCCCCCAAAAGCCAAAAGATATAAATAGCAGACACAGGTAGCATTTTACTCTAAAAATGATTCCTTCCATATGGCAAGCTAACATTACAGAGGAAATCCACTGCAGGACCACCATATTTAAGGAGCCTTTTGGGGAAAGGGTAAATTGTTTGGAGGAATCAGAAGTCACAGAAGAACTGCACATCAAGGTGAATGGGATCACCCTACCACAGTGGTCGGGAGTTGGCCTCCTTTATATTAGCATCACTATTAAGCTTTATTGATTTTCACATAGTTACTTGATTCTATGCTATTATGGCTGAATTATTTTCTATTGTTATGGTGGTGCAGTTGTTGCATTTAGCACATATTTACTCTGTGTCAATACTTCATTTGTCTTTGTGGCTATAATTGCAAATAACCTCTGGATTGGTAAAGGTTGTATAGTGGCAGCCTTTTTTCTTCTTACTGTGTATTAATATCTGTGTATTTTCCATAAAACCTGATTTATTTGCTTTTGTCAGTGGTAACACTGCGATGGCTGCTGCTATTAATTGGTTTTTCTCTATGCCAGTGTCTGGTTTGCATTTGTTTCATCAACATTATTGCAGTTCATTTTTTTCCTCTACATGTTGTACAAAAGATCATGTTCCCAGAAGAAAGACACTAAGAAGAACATCAAGCGTTACAGTGGTTAGGTTGAAGAGGGGTACAAGCACCAAAACAGAACCAAACACAAGAACATATCACGGGGCTGGGCATGGTGGTACACACCTATAATTCCAGCATTCAGGAGGCTGAGGCAAAGGGATCTCTGTGTGTTTGAGGTGAGCCTGGGCTACATAGTGAGTTCAAGGCCAGCCTGCACTACACAGCAAGATTGTGTCTCGAAAAATAACAGCAACAATAGCAACAACTATTAAAATATGTCACAGAGAAACAGATTCTAACTGAAGAGATCTCCACAGCAGTGAAACAGTGTTTATATCCTAACTAATCTTCAACTTGCACAGAACAACATAAATATGAAAAATCAAGGCAACAACATACAACCCCAAAGCTCGCCAAAAGCTGATCTCCCAGACACCGGAGTGGAGGAAGCTACGAATAAAGAACTACAAATAAAAATGACCGATGTTTTAAAAGCTCAAAGAAGAAACATATAAGCCAATTCATAAGATGTTTTGTGAGCTTAAGGAGGACTTATTAAAGACGATTTTCTTAAAGAGAAAAAATAAATTTACTAATAAAATGTTCCACAAACTTAAATAGAAAATTGCGTTAAAATATGAGATTTCAATGACTAGTTTTTAAAGAAAGCAAGCAAAAATACAAGATACAAAAAATTCAATAGAAAAAGTGGGCAGTATGTTTGTCCAATATAAGGACAGAGAATCAGAAATTGAATATAAAGTGGATGTAGCAGATCATAAACTCAGTGATATCATAAATATGGCAACAGGACCTGTATGGCAGATACAACAGCTGCCAGATGACTCAAAAATATCAGAATTATAGAAAAAATTAGAAGATGACTAAAGAGGTATAAAAAAGGTATTCTCTAGACTCATACCCATTAGCTTTCTAAATCTAGTGAAAGAATTAAATATATAAGATCTATTATTTATATTGCCAACTCCCCATGATAACTATAATCACTATGTACCATGAACATGTAGTAATTCAAAAGGAAATAGTTCAATATCCAAATGCAAGAGACATAAAACCCTAAATAACCACAACCAGAAAAGTACTTTTCCAGACCATTGATAATCAGAATTTCAGAAATTTAACTTAAGGAGGAAATACTAAATGCTGCTATATAAAATAAGCAAGTTACTTACAAAGGCAAGCCTTTTTGAATTATAGCAAATTGCTCAGCACAGACTTTAAGTGCCATGAAGATTTGGAGTGAATCTTTTCAAGCCCTAATAGAAAATAAGTGTCAACTTGAACTATTATACCCTGCAAAATTAGCCTTCACAAGTGACAGAGAATCAAAGACTTTCCATGACAAGGAAATTCTACAGAGAGACACAAACCATGAAGCAAGTATTAGAGAAAAATATTTGATGGAATAATAGATGCTATCAAAGAAACCAAAGGAAAGTGTACATCTAACTGGGAGAGAAATTTTAAAAAATGAAAAAAAATGGGAATCAGCACTGGAAAAATAATGCAGTGACAGGACTCAGTAAACACCTTACAGTAATAACTCTCAATATTTATGGTCTCATCTCCCCACTTAAAAGATAAAAACAAGCAGATTGGATCAAAAAACAAAATGCAATTATACATTGCCTGCAAGAGACACAGTTCTTCTGAAAGGAAGCTCATTGACTGAAAGAAAAAGGATGGAAAATGATACTCCACACAACCAATGCTCTAAAGCAAGCTGGAGTAAAAATCTTATTTTCATAAAAAGCAGACATCAAGCTAAAACTAGTCAGAAAAGAAAAAGATGGTGACCACATATTGGTAAAGTGAACAGTTCAACAGGAGATAATTTTAAATATCTATGCAACAAATGTTGGGACACCAAAAAAAAATTACTAGTAATAAAAGCACAAACAGATACAAATAAAACTATACTGGGGAACTTCAACACTCTATGCTCACAATTAGGTCAACCAGACAAATAATTAACAAAAGAAATAGAGTTAAAACATATCATG